GGGCCTGGGAGGGGAGGGGCAGGGGCGGGGCGGCAGCGCCTATAAAGCCGCCTTCAGCGGGGCCACCACAGATCTCGCCCATCTGCGCGCTTCAGCTCCACTGGTTCGCCACTGCCACTGCCCCAGCCACTGACCGCTCAGTCTTCCTCCTTTGGCCTCAGGTGAGCCCCAGCCATCCTCTGCCCAGCACTGCTGGAGCGCCCGCCATCCTGGGGGAGGGGGGGCCGCCAACTCCAGGGGCGCGAGCACCACCGGGCTGGGGTGGGGGTGTCGATAGGCAAAGAGGAGACAAAAAAGGACACCGTCCTCCGAAGGGGGGGAGCGCGCAGGGGACCGCTGGGGAGCACGCTGTGAGTGGGGACTGGAGGCCCGACCGGAGCTGTGAGAGGCCGCGTGTGCCAGCGCATGTGTGCCTGTGTGGGGTGGGCTGTAGCCCCGGGATTGCACCTGGGGACAAGGCTGCTTGAGTGCGGGGACCGGGGGTGGGGTGATGAGTGGCGCAGCGGCTGGAGCTGCCGGAGGGGAGTCGGGAGTGGCTGGCTCCCAGACTGCGTGGGGATGTGTGAGGCGAGGCTCCAAGGGGCGAGGGCGGACTCAGCACCCAGACTGGTGGTGTGTATGTGTGTGCATGAGACACGTGGGAGCCGCTGTCCGAGAGCGCTCATGGGTAGGGTGTGGTCCGAGTGAGTTGCTCTGGGTTGGAGCTGTGGGGGTGGGGGTAGATGTGGCCGGGTCAGAGTGAGGGGTGGGGTCCTTTAGCACCTGGCTGCCCCTACTTTGGTGGCTGGGGTAAGGGGTAGCGTCATTTTCGCCGTTATCCAGCGAGCTCTCCTGGTTTGCTTGGCCGCGGCCCCCCTGCTCTCCCCGGGGAGAACAGCTGGAAAGGCTTCCCATCCGGAGGAAGCGCCCTGATTTCTGATTCACCCTCGGAGGAGACTGGCCGGGCGCATGGAATGCTGTGGCTGGTCTCCTGGGGACGGATGCTGTGTCCCTGCTGCTTCTGCTCAGACAAATCAGCAGCTGGTGCTGGGGTTCAGGACCTGGTTTCCTTCCCTACCGTTGTGTTCCCACATGGTGGTGGGTGTGGGCGTTGTGCTTCAGACCCAACTGGGTGACACTGTGCTGGGGGTGGGTGGGGTTGGGGCACCAAAACGGCTGCCTGTAAAATTTAGGGGGTAGTGTTGAACAGAAATGTACTAATTTTTATACTCCAGATCTCTGGAGTCCGGTGTAACAAAAACAACATTTTTCATAAGCACAGTTTACATATCAATAGACTTACCAGGCTGAAACCTCCAGGCTCTATTACTTTTTGAATCTTCTAGAAGCCCTGGCTGTATAGTTGTGACTTATTGGGCTACAATGTTCTCGTGCTGTCTACTCCGTAAAGAGTTACAGTCCCGGGAACCCACAGGGGCAGGTCTACCTTACCCTGTAGTGTGGCTTTTAATGGAATCGACTTGATGGAGTGAGTGAGCAGGCTTAGGTCAGAGCTGTCATTAATCCTCGGTGACAATGACATTTCCAATCTTCCTGCTTTCGTCTGC